ATGAGGAAAGGACTTGGAAGTCTTCAAAGAATGTGAGGCATCTAGATAAGAAGCTGTTTGAGTTTCATAGAAAACATTCAGACAAGTCTGATCTACATCATATTCTGAGAATGTGCACTTAGAAAGATCTTGTTAGATTTGTAAAGTCATTTACAAAGCAGTTAGAAAATGATTCATGAAGCAGAAGAGCAGTGATCTGAGTAGTGAATTGATTTAGAAGAAAACTCAGTCTGTAAATGCATTTACAACTGTCAAGAAGTAGTTCATGAAGTGGAAGTAGTGAATTTACTCTAAGATAAAAGAAAGAACTAGACTATTAATGGTCAAAGCCTGCAAGAGAAAGAGGAAACTAGACTATTAGTGATCAAAGCCCACAGTAACAAAAGAAAGAAAACAAGAGAGCAATTCTAAGAATTGAAAGAATAAGTTTTGTGTGTCTGATAGACACAGTTATTACATCTGTCTCTATCAAGAGAACTTGTGACACACTGCTTTAATGGAGGATTTAAGTTATCTCAACATGCTGTACATGGCTGCTGAAGATAATTGTCTGTCATGGTGATCAGAATCTCTTTTCAGAGCTGGGCTCTATTTCTCAGTCAAACAGAGTCTGTTGGATCAGTAAGAGTTGCAGATCAAAGAGAGAGAAAAGCAAGAAGTTATCTCTCATGATCAGATGAATTCTGATCTGAGATTAAGAGTGAAAGATGACTTATAGTAACTGATATCCTGACTGACAAGTTAACAGCTGGGGCAGGGGCTGAGGGAGCAGAAGCAGAAGCAGAAGCAGACACAGCAGATAGAGAAGAAGTTGATGAGACTGACTTCTAAAGAAAAACAAAAGCATTAGCTGAAACTCTCAATATCACTTCATAAATGAGTTTATGAAGCAGAAACTGTCTTATAAGTCATGTTATGAAGCAACTCAACATATCTTGAATGCATTGGAGACAGAATCAATGCTTGAGAATGAATGCAGCATAGAAAAGAGCACAGACTGAGAACATGAATGCAGTAGAAATAAATCAGACTGAGAAAAATGAAGTGATGCATTATCAACAAAAGTTTCAGATTTGGGAGACAGATGATCACTCTTTCTCAAGATCTGATCAACTGAGACAACAGAGCTAGTAGTCAAAAAAAAATCATTACTAGACACAGTAGACATCATTGAGTGTTTTCATTAAGCTTAAATATTAGTGCTCTGAATATGCCATCAGCCATGCACACAGAAAAGAGAATTATGGAGTGAGGAAACACTTCATAAAGAATATTTCAGACTTCATAAAAGCAATTATGAAGCATTAAAAGAAGAAGAAATGAAAGAATATCACTTACATCATTATAATTAAAATCAGACTGACTGAACTGTGATGTCTGAAAAGAGATCTCAAAGTCTTCAGAGACATAACTCTCTGTTGCATAAATGAAAACTGATGACAATGATGTCTCTCCATTTTGATTTTCTTGAGAAATGACAGTAGTTGAGAACTCTGCTTCAGATGAAGCAGAAGATTCTGAAGACATCTCTTACATTGCTTCTAAAGAAAGTCTTAAATGATGACTGATTGAAGTTTTATCCCCAAACTTATTGAGTCATTGTTGCTCACATTTCAACATCTTAATTTAAATGAAAGAGAGACACAGCAAATTATCTCTCTGCATAATGTGTTAGCACTGAGAAAAGTCTTTACAAAGCATCTAAGATTTGTAATCATCAAGAAGAGAATGCTTGTCTAGAACTCTTATCAAAATAAAGAAGAATATTGTTGAAAAAGAAAAAGAAAGAGAGAGAGAGAGAAGATCAAGAAAGAGATATTTATATTTAAGAGATTGCTGAGTATCACTAGATGGATCATGAGAAATGACAGTCACTACAGCAACTACATTACAATTACAGAGAAGTTGTCACTCTTGCTGTGATCTTACTGTCACATCTACATCTAGAAACTGAGATTGAATTAAGACTTCATACTGTTATCTTCTTACATTCATCACATCAAAAAGAGATTTTGTACAAAATTGTTGCAATCACAGTGGAGCTGTCACTCTCACTGTGATCTTGATCACATCAATGTCTTGAAAATCAAAACTTATGAAGAGAAGAGAATCTGTAAGACTCTGTGCTGTGATCTTCTTACATTTATTTCATCATCTAAAAAAGATTTGTAAAATCTTCTTAATGCTTAGATGATCATGCTCCATGGCATCTGAGATTCATAAACTCCATGACTGATCACATGATCATATTAGCAAAGCTGAACACACAAAATCTGCCACAGACACTTCTTTATAAAGATCAGTGGCAACATATCTAGAGATTCTAGATACTGTTATAGTAATATAAGTTATCTCTCTCTCTCTCATGCTTAGAATCCTTTGTAACCACTTCTCACTCAATCTAATCACATTTATGAAGGCTGTAAGTCATTGCCATGTTACCTGCAACCACCTGAGCCTCACAGACATAGACATCAGAAAATTGAAGAGGCATGTTGTTCTAGTGGTCTGAGTTAGCTAGCAGATCTCTTGACCATGGTCAGAAGAAGCACTGACTGACATACATAAAAAGTCTTGGCACTTATTGTTAAATAAAAAGTAATTTCTGGAGTCTAGATTAGTAGATCTCTTGACCATGATTGGGGGAAGCACTGACTAGCACACACAAAGAATGTTCTTGATTGATGAAAACTGTAGCTAGTGGTCTAGATTAGTGAGTCTCTCAACCATGGTCAGGGGAAGCACTGGCTAGCACACACAAAGAACATTCTTGATTGATGAAAATTGTAGCTAGTGGTCTAGATTAGCAGATCTCTCAACAAGCACTGGCTGACATACACAATTGTTGTTTTTTGGTAGAAAATGGTAGCTACTAAGATTGTAGATACAGTATTAGCACCAAGCATGTTCTATGTAGAATCTATTTGATGGGATCAGTATGGATATCTCAATCATGATCACCACTGAAAGATTAATATCATGAGCACTTACAGTATCCTGTTGGACAAAAGAGTTGAACAGTTGAAAGAATGAGGGAGTCAAGAGAGTATAAATCCTTTCACTGAGAGAGATAATGTGATTCTCAATGAAAGAGTGACTGTATGAATCTCTTTTGATAGAATCCTCTAGTATACTGCTTGATCTCAGACAAGACAGTATTTTACAGGCTTCAGCAACACAGACAAGCATCAGCTCTGATATTAAATGTTTGAAACTGTTTGATGTCAAAGACTGGCTGTATACATCATACAGCAGAATAGACAACACAAGTTTGGAAGAATTCTCTAGATACTGCTCAATCTCAGGCAAGACAGTATTTTACAGGCTTTGGCAATACAGACAAGCATCAGCTATGGTATTAAATGTTTGGAATCATTTAATGCCAAAGACTGGCTGTATACATCATACAGCAGAATAGACAACACAAATTTGAAAGAATTCTCTAGATACTGCTCAATCTCAGGCAAGACAGTATTTTACAGGCTTCAGCAACACAGATAAGCATCAGCTATGGTATTAAATGTTTGGAACTGTTTGATGCCAAAGACTGACCATATACATCATACAGCAGAATAGACAACACAAATTTAAAAGAATTCTCTAGTATACTGTTTGATCTCAGACAAGACAGTATTTTACAGGCTTCAGCAACACAGACAAGCATCAGCTACAGTATCAAATGTTTGGAACTGTTTGATGTCAAAGACTGAAACAGCTGTGAGAAACTTCAAGTGATGACTAAGAGAGCTGACTACTCACTAGTTATCAGATGACACAGAAGCACATAATGATCATGTGACTGAGTGTTTATAATATTGCATCTAGTCTGTTTCTAACAAACAAGACACAGATACTTATAGATGAACATACTATAACTGAGACTACAGAAAAAACATATGAAAAATCCCTAGTAAATCTTCATCAGTCTGATAGACAAAGATAATGAAATCAGTATCATGATTAAGAAGAGAAGATGATGAATCTATGATTCTTTGATTTCTCATTCAGAAATCTGATCATCTGACAAGTCACCTGACTCCTGCTCAACACTAGTTAACTACTTATGAATTAATAAGCACTGGCAGAAAATTATTCTGCCAAAACTCTAAAGTCTAATTCCCATAGATGTCATGTGGCCATTCTGGTATGCCGTACTTAGCTGGTGGGCCTATCAGCCATAGTGGAATCGCGGATCTCTGCACTACCATTGGGTTACCAATTTTCCAAGCTGTTACGTAGCCATTACCACCACCTTGTAGTTTCAACATTGGCTACAGTAACTACTATGTATTTTGACTACTACATAGTAAGAGCTCACTACATTGAATCTACTATATGATAATAACAACATTTTTAAATCTAATAAGGAAATGATCAGCAGGTGAAAAATTTTCATTCATCTTTTTCAAATCTCTAAGTCACTCACTAACTCTCTTCTACAGTAGAAGTCTACGCGATTTTCTATTATCCTACTAGCTAGTCTACAATTCCTACTAGCTAGGCTAGCACGATTTCTACTATCCTACTTACTAGGAGACTACACAATTTCTACTATTCTCCTAGATTTTACTGTTTTCATAGTTTTTGTGGACTTAGAAATTTTCTGGAAGGTTCTTTGTATGTAGGTGTAATTGAACTTGTTGTACTTCAATACAAAACATTACTTAACCAAGTTAACTCCAATTAACTCTTTGCAAGTCAATGTTGAAAATACTGACTTAAGTTGAGACAACAGTCAGTCTAGGTCACAGCTGTACTTGTAGATGAACATTCTGAAAAACATAGGAAAAATCCTAGCTAATATCTGCCAGTCTGATGATTAAAGATAATGAAATTGGTACGGTTGTGAAGAGGAGGTGGTGAACCTATGGTTTTCTGGTTCCTCCTTCAGGGACACCATTTTCCACCTTTCAACAGAAAGAGACATTGTATAGTCCTTGATGTTCATCTCACGCCCGTTTTACCGGGCTGTCAGACGTGCTCCTAGTTTTGTGCCTAGAATGAGCTCTCACTCCCAGGCTATTCCTATTGTGGAAGAGACCCAGAATCCCGATTACGATCCGAAAAAATTTTATCCTGCCCGCATCGGAGAGACTTTACACAGCAAATACTGCCTAATCTCGAAGCTTGGGTTTGGAAGTGGCTCAACCGTCTGGCTAGCCAAAGACGTCTCGCGGTTAGCTCTTCAAGACCTATATTTTAACACCATTCACAAATTAACGGCTTAAAGATGGCGTTGGCAGAGCAATAAATATGTGGCGATCAAAATTACAAACTCGAAGCCCGAAGATCGAACCGCCGCTCGAAATGAAATACAAATTCACAGGCAGATATCACAAGTGCATTCCAGCCATGAGGGCCAGAACTTCGTGCGGCAGCTTGAGGAATCATTTGAGATCAAAGGCCCATTTGGCAGTCATGATTGTCTAGTGTTTGAGCCTCTGAGAGAGTCTATCTGGATGTTAGGCAGACGATTTGGGCCAATTGGATTGCCACCACCCTTAGCTAAGGCATTTCTCAGAGTCATTTTGACCAGCCTAGATTACTTGCACACTGAATGTCATGTAATCCATACAGGTATTCCATCTGTAAAACAAAAATGTTGTTCCCATAACTGACAGTAACTAGATCTAAAAGCTGACAACTTTATTTTGGCATTTGAGGACTCTGCTGTTCTTGAGGACTATGTACAAGAACAAGACAGAAATCCAGCATCCTTTACAGAAATTGATGGTCGTCCCATATATGAGTCGCGTCCTGATTTTGGGCCTCTTAGGAAGGGTGTTGGAAGGCTCAAGACAATTGATTTTGGTACTGCTGTCTCTGGCGGTGTATTGAAGCCACACAATCATGATATCCAGCCTCTACAGTTTTCTGCTCCTGAAGTCATTCTTCGAGCCACATGGACATATAGCACAGATATCTGGAATCTGGGCACAATGGTAAGCCTGCTGTCTCCCAAGCTGTATCATTTAAAAAACAAAGCATTAAGTTATTCGTGCAGCTCTGGGAGATATTCACCGAAGCACCGCCATTCAGCGGATGTGGCCCTGGAAGCACCACATATTCAGTGGAAGCACATCTAGCCCAAATGATCCGTCTGCTTGGACCTCCGCCACCGGAGTTGTTATCCAGAGGCGACCCGGCAATAGTTTCGCGCCTATTTTCAAAAGAAGGTTTGTACAACACCATACTAGATAATGTGAAGGCTCTGTTAACATAATTCTGCTAGGCGAATTTAAGTATCCTCATTTGATTCCCCCTGATGGATACGGCCTCTCGAGCATTACGCCCTTTCTCGAAGGTGAAGATAAGCGACTTTTTTTGGAGTTCGCGAAACGGATGCTTAAATGGCTTCCAGAGCAGCGCGCTACCGCAGCAGAACTGATTGAGGACCCCTGGTTAACCTTTAACCTGAAGATTTGACAAATTCCCCCTATTCAACTCTGTAATTCTGTACTGTTTGGGAGTTTTAACTTGAGACTAAAAATCGAAAGAATACTGTCAATTAATAAAATGAATAAAAAGCTGCGGAAAGGCGTAGCAGGGAAACCGCTTCCGACAGGCTAATTGGTCCTCTTCACTTCTAACCAGTCCTCCAACAATTTCTACAACATGTGACCCTGGCAGCGAAAATGCTGGCAGTGGAAGGAGGCCAACAATCGCAAGTACCTTTGCCATATTGTATAATGAAAGGTTGTAGGTTGCAGAGTAACTATGTAACAAGCGTCTGAGAATATCGACCTCACGAGCCGATCACAGAAGATTATTTTCTAGAGATAGGTTCTTGCAACACTGCCTAGCCTCGGAACAAGTCCGAACCTATCGACCAGTTTTACTTGACGGGCCGCACGAATCTTCTCGGGTCTAGGTACGGAGTAAACCATTTAGTAATAAGCGATTGCCGGCAGGTTGACGTGCTCAATGCATATCGGAAACTTTTTGACCGAGAGAACGTGGCACCTCCATAGAGAACGTTCTATTTTGGGTCGAATGAATGGGGAGGGAGGGTGTGTTCATTGCTAATGATAGAATAATAGTATCACACTGAAAACATCGTTAGTTGTTGAGGGCAAAGGTAGTGTTCATACCTTGTGCCTTAAGCTTGGTGCTGCTACTTGGTTATCACCGACCCGCGTTACGAAGTTATAACTTGCCAAGCCCTGATAACCCGGTTATCACGGCGTCTCCCTAACAAACCCATTCAGTATAACTCGGTTATCAGCCAGCTTGGCGGCATGAGTTAGAGTTCGTGTTATATGGGGCCCCCGTACGGTGATTGGCAGGCTGGAGAATTACTATGCCAAAACAGTACACACGCAGGCAGGCTGGTAGCTTAGTAATTACACAGCGCGCAGGCTGGTTATTAAGCTCCAGCGGGTGTAATGCCAAGACCTTTCAATTGCACTGGTCTATATTGGGCCTAGTATTGATAACTTGACCTGCTAAAGTTAGACCACACCTTGGCATAACTTTCATAGTAATGACTACCTAGCCTAACTATTCAAGACGCGAGTTCACTCACCCCTGAGTACAGAGAGCGGAATAGAGCAGCTGGTCTGCAGTCGTCTTTTTCTTTACTCCCAAGAACATAGCTATTCTTCTTTTCGCCTAACTTCAAACATAGCCTGAACCAAAGGCCCACTCTTCAACTTATCTTGCACAGATATACAAGGAGCGTAGATGTACTACAAGTTCAATACAAATTGCTTCATATAGAATGGTAATTAGATAACCGTCTATCTGCCAGGGCAGTTAACACTATTCATCATACATTTACTAACATAATAAAAGTACCACCCTTGGCTACTTTTTCAGAGGGATCTGCACAGCAACAGTAGTGGAAACGAGCTTGTTTCGTCCATCCACAACTGGGAATGACACCTGACAATCAGCCACGCGAGGCTCCCTTCCTCCAGGGCAAAATGCTTGAATGCCACCTGTGCAATAGCTATCAACACCGCGGGCACACGCATCGCGTTGTCCAAGACAATAGCGCTTTGCTTCCCGCCTGCATTTGCCTTTCAAATGAGCAGTGAAAGTCAATGTTCGCAAAGTGCATTCGTGAGCTGGAGGGCATGTCATGGTGTATGAGACAGATTTTGTGTCTGTCGTTGTTTTGGTTTTGGTATTCGAATACCCAGCGGACACCTCCAACGAGGCACCCATCCCTGACCCTCCTATCTTTCCACCGATATTCCAGCCTTTTGTCACTCCCGCAGCAACCGCACGGGTTTTTGAGAATGATAGGGTGCTTGGGGTCTTTGCAGTGTTGCGATAAGGAGTAGTGGAGTCCGTCGACTGATAAGTCATTCTACTTGATGTCACCTCAATAAGTTCGTTATTGACCCAGTGATGTGGGTTGAATAAGCACTGGAACATCATCCCTATGCAGAGAAGGCTTGAAGGTCGTCCAGCATGCGAGTGAAAATGTGGGCGCTTCCCCGTGAGTTTGACTTTCTGTTCGATAAGCCGCTTGACAGTCTCAAACACAGTGTCCATTTTCGGTTTGTACCCGTCTCTTCGTTTCTCCAAGTCGTTTACTTCACCGAATAGGCCGCGTTCCTGTAGCTGGTTCAGATCGATTCCATCCACTGCCACAACAAAAATCTTTGCCGAGGGGTCCAGATGGTCGTCCCTGTACTCCATCATAAAGATCGGGCCTCATTGCGGGATCGGTTGCTGAGCCATCTGTTTCATTTTGTGATCTCAACGCCAAGTCAGCACTGTGCGGGGGAATCGTGTTGCCATAGATCTGCGCAATGCAAGCGCAAAAAAGGAAGAAGTAGGAAATGCCGGCCATGGTGAATACCGGGAGATTGATATATATGCAAAGGTATCCAAATTTGAAAAAGCCGACACGATGGTCGTGTAAGTTAGCACTACAATCCTAGGAAAAGGGTCTTCCTTTTATATTCGTTCGTCCCTCCGGGTCATCTTTGCCCTACGAGGGGTAGGCATCTTCTCCAAGTGCTAAAAATACCACCCCGTCTTCAGTACCCACACAGAAAGGATTCAATGCCGTCAATTGCACGTTTTGCAGTATAAAAACATGTTTTTTTCCACAGTTATTTTATGCTGAAAGTCGGGGCCACTTTCAAGACCAAGAGCACCTATATTAGCTCCTCTCGGCCTTGCGTGGGCATATTCTTCGTTGTGGGCGCAGATTCGCCCGCCATTGAAACTGTGTGCTCGACTCTGTACTGGAATCGATAGGGAATATATATTGTCGTTACCGCCTAGGATGTCCCTCAGCACCCAGAGACCTGAAGCGGCATGCATGGAATTTTGATTTTCATAGAGCCTCCGGTATACTAGAGTACTGATGTCGAGATCAGTAACCCCCAACCTGTAGCTGACGTCGAAGCAAACGTCAGCATTCATCAACTTGACCCATGCCGAGTGGCATAGAGGGATCCCGAGTAGGGTCAGCGGGGGAATCGGCGGCGCTTAAGCGGTTTGCCGCTCGTTGTCATCCCCAAACTTTAGGTTATAGAGAGGATGGGAAATCAGATTTAGGCAATCAATGGTAATGGAGGATGCAGCCAAGGTACGGTCATCCTATTGGTAATAATTTAGGCACTATGTCTTGAATTCCGAGCCGTGCTTGCGTTCCCCATACACGTGCGGTCTCTGCTATTGTCAGAGGTTGCCCCATGCTGTTATGGAGCAGCATACGAGAGTGGTGTGTAAACTTTGAACCCATTCTTGAACAGCGCTGCTCTGGACGTAACTAGTAGGCACGCCTCATCGTCCCAACGATCCTAGCTAGTTAGAGAATAGGAGTCCACCACTCAGGCTTCCAGGATAGAGTTTTGCTCTGTGGTTCATAGGTTATGTTGAGATAATGTTTCTTTCCTAGCTCATGAACAGCGAAATTGAAATCTTTGGTGGTATTATCCTCAATAGTGGCTCAATGGACTCTGTTCCACAGGAGTCTTTAGCCTTGCTTGCAGAGAATTGCCTCATTCAATTAACTTCTGGAGTCAATGGCAAGGCCACCCGACACAAGTATTCACTTATGGGTCCGGCTTCCATGGGCCGCTGAGCGACAAAATATGAGGGGAATCACTGGCTACAGTGTTTCTGGCCAGCCAAGCGGACTTAAGAGATGCGGTGGGTGCATGCCGCTGTGAGACTGCGAGTGTGGAGGGAGTGTGGAGGTGACACATGCTTATACAGACTGTTGCTGAGAAGCTTCTCTTGTGCGCTTCAGGCTCGGGGCTGCCTTGCACCAATACTCCTCTAAGCTCTCTTCATCTCTAGAAAGCAGCCTTGTGGGAACAAGTTAAGGACTCGGGGTCTGTAAATTTCCCCAACTCGGTTTCTGGGTCTCTGTTGGTGTGGCGTTCGTTGTAACATTCAACCTGGGAGTGGCCGGCGGGTATGGAGTTGCTAGTATGTAGCTAGTTGAATGGCCCCCGTTGAATGGTCTTTTCCCGCCCCGGGAATTCCTTAGAAGGGCCGCAACCCATCCATGCTGTCGATTTGATGGCCACAAGAGGTCAGCTAAACCAGAGGTGCGATTGAACAGACCCAAGCCCCAGCCGTTGCCCCACCAGCAGGGAATGAGTTGATGTGGAGTGCTATGCCAATTTATTATTGAACTGGAATCGTACATCTTGTCTGGGGGCTGAGCACCGAACTACTGCAGCCTCGGCCGATGCGAAGTGGTGTCGGTGCCGACCGAAGTTGCGGCCGCGCGCGGGTTGGCCGCCCCATCAGCACATAACTAACTATACCCGACGTTGCACTCCCGGGGAGGTTGGGGGCCAGACAGCTTTGCCGCCGATATATATGTAACCGAACATGGACTCTACCTAAGCTGTGCCCAGATCCAATGTAGTATGGCTGCCGGTGCACCTGGCCTGCGCTTATAGGCTGTCAGGGCTGCTTGGAGCGGCCGAGCAAATTCCATTCCATCAAAGGCCTTGACCTTGCTGGCCAGTGAGCTACTGGTGCTTATCGTGTCAACCAAAGGATGTATTATTGATGGTTAGTAGGGAACTGCCGCCTTACAGACCCCACGCCAAATGAGCCTTTGATATGTACGGGGCTGGGTAGTGGAGGCCAGGAAGGGCCAGGTGCCGCGATCTGGCCCATAACACTCAACACATGCAGATGGCTCTTATGTACGGAGTATGCAGGTAATGATGCTATTCCAGGCGCACAGACACTCATTGGCGAAAGCTCGTCGGTCCCTTTCACATGCGCCTTGCCCTTGGGCGTTTGATATGAGCGGTTTGATGCAAACCTGTCTCTCACTACACGAGATAGGATGCACCAATATCTAAACTTCTTAGAGATAAGCCTACTACTTCTTTTAATATTTGGTGTATTCCCTTTTGTCTTGTAAAATAAAACCAACCCCACAAGGTCTTGGAGCGTGTAGCTAGTTAGATTACATAGTTATCATCCGACGACGCCGAATTAAGCTTCACCCTGGAGGCAGTACGGCATCTCGGCCCATTCTATATCAGCATCTTTATCAATACCTGCAACGGCGTCATAAATTTGATCTGCGTAGTCTTTCAAGGCATCAAAACAGTCTTCACCATGGGACAGAAAGGTAATAACCAGGCCCTCTGGGGATGTCTCTATAGGCTTGACGATAACACCGCCGTATACGCAGACTTTCGTCTTTTCGCTTCCGAGAAACATCTCGCCGTCCCAGTCAGAGTCCTCTTTCACTAAGGCTTTCTCGATTTCAGCGCCTTTCTTAGTCGTGATGGTAGCGCGGAGGGGCGCTAGCTTTCTACCCAAGCGTTTTTCCCAACCATAATTCAATTCCCACTGCTTCATGACTAACGAATGACATCTGTTAGAAGCTGAATCTGGACCTTTATGTATGGAAATATAGATGACTTACTTGAAAATGGAAGGTACTCTTCTTTCACTCAAGATTGGAATTTTGTTGTCCTGATTCTCAAGAACAAGACCAAAGACGTCTGACGGTGTTAGAGGATAGTGTACTTTGTATTTAGTTAAGAGGATAGTGGTTCGACTATGTATGTACTTGTATTTATTCGATTAGCAACTGCCAGATAGCACGCGATGATCGTATAGCTATGGTCCAGAGTCACCAAAGTGATGAAATACTGGCACGATCAGCGGGGTTAAACCGCTGAGGCAAACCGGCGGATCGAGCCATGGCATAGTTAACTAGCCAACTAGCTACGCGTCATGGGCTTGCCGAGCTTTAGTTAGTAGTTAGTTGTGACCCACAAAAACATAAGAGTGGGGGTGTTGACTATGAAGATCATAGACTTCCTGCCTGCAAGGTGGTGCTCTCTGCCTTTTTATTTTTTGGTGGTTAATTACTGTGGCGGTTCACTGATATCGAGTCTATCAATAATCAAACCAGGAGAGGGATCATACATACGGAGTACAGAGTACAATTGGCGGGGAAAGGGCACTGGAAGGCTTGGTATTCCTTGTGGGGTGTTCCATACCGCTGTCGACACAACATACAAAGGTGCATCCATGTTGTTAGTTATAGCCAATTTGGTTGTTTCGTTTTCTGCTTATTTTGTGACATATTCAACCCGAAAGCCCTGTGGTCGATTGTAACTAGTTACACGATAAATGCTATAAGGCGACGGTCAACAGGGATGTAGCATTTCTGAGTCAAATATTTAAAAACAGAGGTCTTCTACCACCGAACGAATACAACTGTCTATTTCTATTGAAACCTGGCGAAGAGATAAAAACATAGTTGGACATCTGCAGCGGATCCGGGAGAACAACCAAGGTCTAGCTAGCGTCATTGGCGGGATATAAATAATCCTCCGTGGTGTTGGGATCCAATGCCCTTATTTTTCGAATTGAGACATTGGTTAGAAAGGGCCATCGAAATTGTGCGAGAGAGAAGCACTGTTTAAATATGTATGGGACATCCAACATCATATGAAAGTCCCATAAAATTTGTTTCAGGTATCCCGGGTGTTTCGATTGATAGCGGTCATGAAGTTAGCATCACCGTTTCCTTCTTTTCTTTTTCGATTTACTCTTTTTTGTTGCACTGTCTCCTTTCTGGTCAGTAGCCTGCACTCGGGTAGGCCATCTTTTCGAATGCTCTCTCTCAAATGATTCCTTGTCCCTCTGGAACAACAACATTGTAGCTCTAGCATCTTCGACACTTGAATGGGCTGCACCTTGTATCTGCAGACCCAGTAGTTCGGCCGCCAATACCTTCAGCCGTGGCTTAACGCCTCCCGCGATTTTTCGGTATGGGGGATGTACACTTGTATCGCGAATGTCACGCTTTGGATGGCTCAGTAGCAGTGCATTCAAATCATTCTGTATCGCATGACCTATCAAAATCCGACCATCGAGCAACCCAGCAACATCCTTCTGAACTTCTTCAAGAGTTCTTGCGGATACTAGCTTGGCTGGAGTGATCCCGCTCACTTTCGTACGCCAATCGGTCACCATTTCTTTCGGTTTGACAAATGAATCATAAACTTGATCTCCTTTAAAATTGACAATACTCACGCGTGCGAGTGCAGAGTCACGATCGGGGTTAGGGCCGACGCCTACCATTTCGCAGTCAATAGCAATATATTTCCCTACTTCTGTGCTGATAACAGTCAGTAACACAGGCCAGCAGATTGGGCAAGAAGGAAAGAAAACAGTGACCTACGAGGATGACAAGCCTTCATTAACTCGCTCTCGCCCAATGGCAAGTTCTCCTTCTTGAATATCCTCATTTCCGTCTTTTGCTTGCTCCTGCACAGAGAGCTTGCTCACTCCATCGACTGTCTCTGTGGCAGTATCCATCATGTTTCTCTTCTTGAGGACTGCCCGGCGTTTTTCTATCGTGGTATTTGTATGTACACGAGGAATAGAGGAAGACGACCGCTTCCTCCGTTTTACATTATCCTGCTGGACGAAATTGTCCGTGCGGCGCTTGGAAATGGTTGAGGGATTGTCGTTTTTCAAAGTTGCCTGTAATTTCTTCCAATTACTGGATAGATCCTTGAGGTCCATTTTCACTCATGTCCTGGCAAATTCCATGGCGCTGTGTGGTTTCTGCATGAATTTCAAATAACTTCAGCATGGATATTCATTTCCTAGCTAGTGAACAAACTAGTTAACTATAACTAGTGGTTATACGGGGGTAAATTAGTGTGTGTTATAACCTGCGTTACTATGTAAGTTATGCCAAGGTGCCGTCTAACTTTAGCGGGGCAAGTTATCATACTAGGCCCAATATAGTTTAGTGCATTTGAAAAGTCTTGGCATTACGCGCCCTGGAGCTTAGTAACCAGCCTGCGCGCTGTGTAGGCTCCTGGTCTTGGCATTACGCGCCCTGGAGCTTAGTAACCAGCCTGCGCGCTGTGTAGGCTCCTGGTCTTGGCATTACGCGCCCTGGAGCTTAGTAACCAGCCTGCGCGCTGTGTAGGCTCCTGGTCTTGGCA